AAAAAAAAAACAAAAAAAAAAACAAAAAAGATTCGAGATGGGAATATTTACAAAAAAGGAAAAAAATTATACAGAAAGGGAGAAAAGATTACGAGAATAATAATAACGTTAAAAGGGAAGAGTAAAGGGGTTGGGAGAGACGGAAGAGGGGTTGGGTAGGAAACGATCTTTAAAAGTAAACAATTGGAGCTCACGTAGAATTTATTATTAAAAAGAACGATAGAGAAAGGAAGAAAGTATGAAAGATAGAAAGAAAGAGAAAAAAACAAGAAATGAGAAAAAAAAGAACATAAGAAAAGAAAAGAAGAAAAAAAAAAATAAATAAATAAATAAAGAGAAAGAAAAACTGATAAATATATATATATATAAAAAAAAACCCTTGCGAAACGAACGAGCACGAGGAACACCAAAAAACATCGGCACACAGAACTTAAAACGATATCCGAATATATAAACACGTTGTTAATGGGTATTACGATAAATTTAAGCCGGTATCGAAGGATTAATTCGTGTAAATTTAGACGACAGAAAGTATCCACATAGATGAATACCTACAACCAAAAAAAAAATATATATAAATATAAAAAATACTGACATAAAAAAAATACATACATAAAAATACGTACATACGGAATACATTACGTATACACTTTACTTAACAACTCTTATACACAAGTTTGTGTAAAAATGCGCATAAAACAGTACACTAAAAAACATACATACACATATACACGTTTACATACACACACACATATATACATACAAAAGAGTACACGTACATGAAAATATTTTACACGGACTCGTTTCGCGCGAATCAAACTCTCACATCTAAACACGCATACACACACACACACACACACGTTTAACACGTAAATTGAATTAAATAGATGACGTTTAATTAGGGAAAACTCGCGCGTGGCACGGCCGAATCCGCCGAATCGATTTTATCGAACGAACGAACGAACGAACGAAATAATCGCGTGATATTATAAAATAAATAAATAAAGAAAGAAAAAAAAGATACATGGATTGATTGTAGAGAAAGAAAGAAAGAAAGAAAGAAAGAATGAATGAATGAATGATAAAAAAAGAGAAGGAAGAAAGAAACAACGAGAGCACTTGTTGATAGGAACAAAATTTCCTCTGCTTAAACGAGGAAATTTGTTTCTGTCTGATTAATCTCTTTTCGTATCCGTTGCACTCGAAATTTCATTCAGCGAAAATATTTGCCGTCGTAAAAGAAAAAAAAAAGACAAAAAAGAAAAATTAATTCCTTTTCGGTGGATACGTATAAGCGGATAAAAAATTCGGTTCGTTCCTACGAGATTCGACAGAAGTAAGCATTTTTTGTTTTACTTCGAAATATAATAAATCTTATTCTATATAAACGTAGAGGAAAAATAATTCGAGAATAATTTACAACCAACCCACCCACCCACCACCCACCCCCACTCGAGTAAATCAACGTGATTCCCCCGCCCCTTACCAACAGCACTACCACCACCACCACCACTACTAACCAACCAACACCGCGTTATATTACAATAAATAATAATATATCCTCTTCTCTTTTTTCGATTATTTCTTCGAGATCGTCGAATAATCCGGCCGTACACATACGTCGCGATAGATATTTCTATTATATAAGTATATGTATGTAATATTATTTCAAGTTCGTCGTTCGTCGCAAATATTTTGGGAATTTTTCTTTTTTTAAAGAAAACGAATAAAGGAAAAAGACAAAAAAAAAAGAAAAAAGAGAAAGAGATAGATACAGAGAGAGAGAGAGAGAGTGGGAGAGAGAGAGAGAGAGAGAGAGAAAAAAATAAACAAACGAACCAATAATTAACAAACCAAACCAAACCTTGCCATGGACAATCGTTCCGAAGATCGTCAGCCAATATTTTAAACGATGGACTGGAATTAATTAGTAATTTTTAATGGGGATTTGATAGTACACTTAAAAAATACTCAGACTTTGATATATTTAAACTGTCGTCGCACAATTCGCAATGTCGATCTTCCGTTCGAGCGTGGCGAGTAGACTGACGTCATTGATTGACGAATTTTTCCACACACATACACACACACCACACCACACACACACACATATTTTATTATTAATATTATTATTAATTATTTCGCGTAAATTTAATATATTCTATTGATTTATTCTATTTTTCTTCTATAGTTTTTTTTTCTCTCTTCTTCAACTATATTTTCTTTTTTTAATTATAATTGAAAAATATGATTAATCAATATAAAGATAATTAAATTAACAGAAAAATAAGAAAAACATAAAAAGAAGGAAAAAAAAGGAAAGAGAGAGTGAGAGTGAGAGAGAGAGAGAGAGAGAGAGAATGATAGAAAAATATACTATACGAGAGAGGAAAAAAAAAAAGAGAGGGGGAGTGAAAAAGTAAATGTGAAATAAATAAAAAAAAGGGGATGAGAAGAACGTTGTTGTTCGACATTGTCGATTCGGATCGTTATTACACTAGGAATTAAAATGAATTGCGCGACATTGATGTTTGGATACGTCACTCGTATGCATAATATAATTACATACATATATACAATACATACATATATATTATATAAGTCGGTCAGAATAATGCCGCGCGCGACGTAAGGAGAAAGAAAGAGGGGCACGCGATTATGTGTGTTTAGTGTGATTAGAAATCGGCCGATCTCATCATATAAATCATTTTTCAATTTAAATATTATTCCATTTAAATATTTCCGAATCGATGGTTACTATATTCTTATGTCTTTTTTTTTATTCTTTTTATAATTATTATTATTATTATCTCATATATTTATATATCCTAAATGAATTCGTCGTATTTAACACGTGTATACACATTTATTATTATTATTATTCCATTAATAATGGAATAGAAATATTCATTTTTTCTCTTCTATATACGGGAAAAACAATATACCAAATTCGATGTTATTCTCGAACTCGAATGTGTAATGCAAATTGAAAAAAAAAAAAAAATAACGATACTCGCAAATAAGGATCTCTTAAAAAAATATGAATTTAAATAGAGAAAGGGGAGAGAGAGAGAGGGAGAGAGAGAGAGAGAGAGAACAAAAATAAAAAAAATAATAAAATAATAAAATAAATAAATAATACACTAGAGGAGAGAGCACGTGACATCGTTATGATTTCCGTAACCGATTTAGACTTCATAACGAATAAATTGACTCATTCGATATATTATTATAATCGATACTCGTAGAATCCCGTCAATTATTAGCGTATCCGTCGGTGATGTAATATTATTATGATATATTTATTAATAGATCTATATACATATACATATATTAATACAGAAGAGACAGACAAAACTATATATATACATAAACACACACACATACACTCCACCCCCATAT